CCCAATTCAAAAACATATAAATAACTAGCCGTCCAATAAGATTAATTCAATGCATACAAATACGGAAAAGTAGATATTAATATTACAACACTATATAAAATATATTCATTTGCTTCAAATTAAAATGAGCTAATGGGTTTTAAAAATGATTTGGGCTTTAAAATTAAAATTATGAAATAATCTAATTTATTTAATTAATTTGTTAATTTATTTAGAAAAAAATAAAATAATTTAATTAATTCAATAAAAAAAATAAAAAAATCATTTAGTTTCGGTTCTTGGTCCAGACCCGAGACCCGACCCAAACCCATCGGTTCTCGATTCGGGTACCCGTTCGGGTATTTAATTTATGAAGAATCGCTCGATTCGGTTCGGTTCGGAATTTTTGGACACCCCTAACCTTAACATAGATAATTAAATCTTAAGCCAAGTCCAAGAAAACATGTAATTCTGAGCTGTTTCTTTGTTTGCATTTGCATAAAAAACGAGTAGCCTGTCCCAAATTTTTATGATACAAATTCTGAAACAAGAACAAGAGTTGCAACAACTCTCCATTAGTTGTCACTTGTCATTTAGTCTTAGATGGAAACTTTATTGGGGTAGCGACCAAGTACTGGATAGATATTGAACAGTTGCATAATTATATTTTATCAGTTATCAATTAATTTCCAGCTTATTGCTTTACAGGTGCATCTATTGTTCTTCTTGAAGATATTGTGGAACCTCAATATTGCTATCATCATTATATCAGCTAATTAAATTCTAAAGGGGAACTTAAATTCAAAGATTCAGGTGCTCACCATTTACCTGAAATGATAAGTTCATTACAGTCTACATCTCCCTCAGCCTGTCATCATGATAAATTCCCCGAGTCAGACTCCAAGTGTCGGTGATCCTTGTTTGGTGAGTTTTTCTGTAAACAGTAGAACCTGTATACCATTGGAAAACTCACATATTATTAAAAACCTCAGTCAACTAATTTTGTTTCTTTTAATGAGCTTCAATTAAACCATGCAAATAAAAACAAAATAGAAAATCGGGCAATCAAGATTCCCATAGAAAAGCAAAATATGCTTACCACTCATTGATCATTGATTGCAGCTCAAAAATTATATTTGCAGATGCTGCAAAAAGGACCATTGGAATCAAGTGAAATAGCAGGGAAGATGTACAGGAGGATCTGCCTTCCAAGAGAAGGCCATTTGTTTTCTATGCATTCAATTCATAGAAAATGAAGACTTCAGCCTGGTTTGTTTTTTCTTAAGCTTTGCAATTTATCAGCAACTTGGTTCATATCAATAGATTGGTCAACTTCGGATAATTCTCTTGCCAGTATGACATATGTCTGCAAACTGATAGAGCAATTCCTAGAGATCATAGTATGAAGAAGCTTCAAGCATACTTTTGATTCCCCCTCCTTGAGCAATCCATCAAGCAAGACAGTCCAAACAATTTCATCAGTATTCCATTGTTTCTCAAGCATGTTCTCGAACAAAATTTCGGCCTCTTTGACCCAATTTATCTTGCAAAGAGAGGAAATAAGTTGTCTATACATTGATAAAGGAGGATTGAAACCTCTGACAACCAGTAAATTAAATACTTCTAGAGCAGGCTCCACTCTCAAACACTTGCAGTAAGCACTGAGGAGAGAGCAATAAATTGCATCATTGGGACATAGCCCTTTCTCTTTCATATATTTAACCAACTGTTCTGCCTCGTACAATTTGCCACCCCTACAGAGGCCAGCAATTAAACAGCAATATGTGTCAACAGAAGGTTCAGAGCGAATCTCAGACAACCTAACTAAGAGATTACATAAAGTATCATATGTAAAATCCTTCTCATCTACATTGCAGTTGTACACTGTTTCATGTTGAACTGCAACTTTTTCTGCAAGCATCTGACATTCCTTTTGCAACCCTTTCAGCAACACACAGTATGTTCGGTAGTTCGGTTTGCAGCCCGCATGTACCATCAGATGAAGAAGTTCAAATGCGTGATCTACTCTACCCAGGGTGACAAACCCATCAATCAATGAAGTATATGTGACCTGATCAGGAGATAACTTTTTGCTCACCATTTCTTCAAGTAACATCTCTGCACGATCAGCCTGGCCTTCCAAGCATAATCCATGGATTAGTGAACTATAAGTGTACACGTTTGGTAAGCAATTCCTTTTCTCCATTTCATGGAAAATCTTGAATGCAAGATGTGTTCCACCATTCTTACACAGACCATCAATTAAGGTTGTGTACGTTATCACATTTGGAAGAAGCCCACTTTCTACCATCTTATTGCATAGTTTCTCTGCTTCAGAAAGCCTGTTCCCTCTCGACAAACCATTTATAACCGAGTTGTAAGTCTCAATATCTGGATCACAATCAATCTTGAGCATTCTTTCAAATAGTATCAGTGCATCGTCAACTTTCCCTTCCTTGCAAAGGCCATCTATCAAAGTGGTATAGTTCACCTGATTTGGGCTCAAACCTCGTTGCATCATTTCCTGAAAAAGTGCAGAAGCCTTATCAAGCTTCCCCCCTTTGCAAAACCCTGAAACAAGTTCCGCATATGTCCATTCATCTGGTTGACAACCACTTGCCTTCATCACCTCTAGCAATCTCAAAACATTGTCCAGAAAACCCCTTTTCAGGTATCCATTAATGAGAGTATTGTATGTAATCACTGTAGGTGCAGGACCTACCTTAAGCATTTCGTTATATAGAATCATCGCCCTCTCAATATTTCCAATTATACAGAGACCCTTTATCATAGCATTATAGGTTTGAGCATTTGGCAAGTAACCATGTCCCTCCATCCAATGAAAAATTCTAAAGGAAGTATCAAGTTTCCCACCATTGCACAGTTCATTTATCAAAGCATTATATGTGACTGCCGTTGGCATCAAGCCCTTTCTCAACATCTTGTGGTACAATCCAACCGCTACCTCAAGTTGACTGGATTTGCCTAACCCACTAATAAGAGCAGTATATGTTTGAACATTGGGATGGCAACCTCTCTTTTTCATGCTAGCTACTAGATTGATAGCATCATTCATGCGCCCAACTGCAAGCAATGCTGTAATAGGCACCGTGTAGGTATATATGGTTGGTTCAATCCCATTCTCAAACATGTCCTCTATCATGCCTAGTGCCTCGTCCACTCTTCCATTTTCACATAGTCCATTGATAAGAGTAGTATATGTTACCGAATTCGGATCAATACCCTTCTTTACCATCTGATCAAAAACAACAAATGCCTTAACTAAATTCCTAGTTCTACAATGCCCAAGAATCAATGACGTGTATGTGAACACATCCGGCAACATTTCATACTGGTACATGCGACTCAATATAATTTCAGCCTCTTCAACCTTCCCCTTCTTACAGAAGATATTAATCATTGTATTCAAAGTCAACATATTTGGTTTGATCCCACTATTCAACAATTCCTTATACACATTCTGAGCCGTGACCACCATATCAAACTTGCCTAATTGAATCAACAAAGTATTAAAACTGTACAGACTATAAGAAAGACCCATTTTAGTAATCTCATTCAAAAAATCAAGAACCTTTCTAAGTTCTCCCTCATTCCTACAGGCTTTAATCAAAAGAATCCTAACATGGTCCGCGTGCGTTAAAATCTTATTTATAACCAGCCTATTCAACATAGAAACATAACAGCTCAAATCATGTTTGTAGAAAGGCCTCTTAGAAACCCAATAAAAAAACTGCAAAACTAAGTCGGTGCTATTGTGGGTTTCGATTATTTTGGCAACATGGTGGGGTTTGATCTTCGAGCTCAAGGACTCTAGCTCCGAGCTTCGCCTCCATTCGACTCTCCGATTGGATAGGATTTCGCATACTCTGGAGACTAAGATGGATGAGCTATGACGCTCTTGTTCTAGATTTTGTTGTGGAACGGGTTGTGAGGAGAAAAGGAGGGAGATGGGTAAAGGGCAGCAACTTCTAGAGTTTTTGGGAAAGCGAATCACGAGTGGGGATTGGAATTTGAGGGCCTTTACCATTTCGAGAAATGACGCTGCCGCTGATGACGATATTCTTGATTAGAGATTTCATGGATTATTTCCGTAGAATAGAATCCGAATAGCATTTGCGGGCAATGGTATAAATGGTGGCGGTGGTGGCGCATTGATGGGAGAGGTCATGAGGGAACGTGGAAATGGGGAAGCCACCAGTGAGGAGGCGAGGGTGGGGGTGGGAGGTTTAGGGTCCAAATATTTTGGGATATACCACTAAATGACCCAAATTCAAAGCCAAAATTCCAAACCAACCCCAAACTAACCCATTTCACTATTCAAACATATAAACTACCTAAAATACCCTTAATATAAAATGTTTCAAAATAAGTTATTTTAGTCCTCATAACTTTAATTCTAATTTTG